GAGAAGAAAATTTATCTACCCAAATTTATAACCTTCAATTCCACTAAGGACATGGGAAGGGTGGAATGGTATTAAATTAAAAATTCACAAAAGAATACAGCTAGGGCACATTGAGAACCTGAAATAAATATTCTAACTTTTCAACAAAAAAATTTAACCAAATTATATAAAATTTCTTTTCTTTTTATGTGCCATGTTCTTTCAGGACATAGGCAATCATGGCTCTCCTCCATTTCCCTCTATTCCTTGCAGCTCGCAACAAGTTCCACCCTTCTGCCAGATCCCCCAGACCATGTTCTGTCATTCACTTGCTTAATCCCACTAGGTATGTCATGCATTGTTTTCCCTTGTCTCTCTTTCCCTCTATTCGATCTGTGAGTATCAGATTCTCAAAGCCCTCTTTCCTCATTACATGTCCCAGAAACTTCAGCTGCCTCTTCCTGATGTTAAGTATAAGCCTCCTCCTTGTTTGCATCCTCTCTAAGACCTCATCGTTGCTCACACGCACGCTTTCTCCATGATACCCTCAGCATCCTTCTGTAGAACTAAATCTCTGTCGCCTTGAGTCTCGTCTTCATCTTTGAGGAGACTGTCCAAAATTTGCTGCCATAAAGGAGGAGAGATGTCATATAACAGCTCATTATTTTTTTCTTTGTTACCAAAGAAATCATCCTGTCTTACATTATTTTGCTCAACTTTTGGAATGCATCTTTGGCCATTCCAATATCTTGATGTCACACTTGCCATCTTCTGTCAAAATGGTTCCCAGATATTTAAACTTGATTTTTTTTACCCTGACCTTCAAATCACATTTCAGGCTCATCCTTTTACTGATGACCATGCATTCTGTCTTCTTGTAGTTTAGTCCTTTTTTCTCATTCTCTTTCACTACCCTCTATAGGAGATTTTGTAATTTCTTTTCCGTGTCTGCTATCAGTACTGTGTCATTTGCGAATCTTATGTTGTTAAGATTGTGGCCACCAATGCTGAATCCCGGTAAGGTTTCCAATATGATAAATTTTCAGAGGTTTCAAAAAGACATTTGGATGAGATAAACTCATAAGCTTATAAAAGTCATTTGTATATGAGATATAACATACATTTAAAAAAGACATTCTCATATCAAATTTAGAAGTTTCTTCTTTTTCTACTTCAACAGCAACAGTAGTTTTAGTATTAGCTTTTTATCATCATGTTTGCTTTCTTGCTAGAGTGGTCAAACATTTTCTCCCAGATGACTGCTTTAAACATCAGATATGGTCAATCCATTCAACAGCAGCATACTTTATTCGCCTGGCATGGTCAATTCTTTTTCCACTTGAATGATCTGTTCCTTTCTCACAGATTCTACATGCTCAAGTGAGGTTTAATTATTTCTTATTTTGCAGTCAAATTTTTCCCTCTTATATCAGTAGTTAAAAAATAGCTCATAAACCAACTTCTTAGTGGGTGTGTATACATTATTTTCCCCACTGGTTAAAAATTCAAAAGTCACTATTCAATCAAATCGCGTCTGTTTTCAATTCAAATTTCATTGCTTCTTAACATCAAAGCTGAGCCCATCCTGAAAACTTTTGCCACAGAAAGTTTAAACTGTTTGACTTCATTTTGGCAGCTTTTTTATAGCATCAATTTTTTTTTTTTTATCTTTACACATCAATTTTTATTGATGTTTTTTTTATTTATATAAATTGTCTGTCTTCATGTTGGCGGTTTCTTTAAAAAATAAACCATGTTAGGAAGACTTTAATTCTCTTATTTAGTTTTTCATACAATTTAATATTATGTCTTTTTATTAAAATAGTTTCTATATTAATTTTTACACAATTCAGATATTTTAATTATTTTTTCTGCTACAATTTTAATATTACAGTTTTATGAAAAATAATTTTTATAGTACTTGTATGTGATACAAAAGAGTCGATTCATAGATAGTCTTGAGATGTGTATATATGAAATAGGTTTCTTAGTAAAAGGTTTAAAAAACAAAAATACTTTTGGTATATCCTAACAGTATTGTTTTTCTGTGAAGTTGATTCTAATTGTTTGTGAATTTAAAAAGGTTACAATAAGGAAGTTGTTACCTTGCAGGGTTTTTTTTCTTTGCACAAGAAGCATTTGGAGTAGATCAATATGCAGCTACATCTGATTGCAATTTGTGTATTTAAGAAAATAAGTTTATGGCAAAATTAAGACTGTAACTAAACCATCGATATAGTAAAGCATACAAACATTGTTTAATGAGTGAGAGAAATGTATGACTTGTTGACTGTATCTTCCAATTTCATCTGTCATAGCCTTAGTTGTTTTGTAAAGAAACAGTTGTTTGTGGTAATAAGAACAAAATTCTACAAACTTAGGAGAATTTAATAGTATAACTTAAACAAGTGAAATAAAACCTATTGAAATAATGAATGCTTTAAGTTAAGTTTAAGAAATCTTCATTCTTGTACTTGGCTTATACAATAATTGTAAAGTTTGTTGACGTTCTAAACACTGACAAGTGTTTTGAAACTTACAGCCTTTTTAAGTTCATGGAAAAAAGGTAAGTTGATGTAATCAAGGGAAAAAAAAGAATGATTGGCCAAACGTAATATGCATATTGAGTGTCAAGAGGTTTTTGTATATTGAGCTAAATTTGCTGCTTGGTCATTGATGAGATACATGTCAGAGGGCCAGAGTTATTTGTTTTCAGTTGGGTTTGCTAGTTGTCTTCGAGACAATGGGTCTTGTTAAACCAGTGGTCCTCAAAGCAAGCTACGAGAAATTCAGAGGATATGCAATCAAGTCTCTCTGCACATCACTCCCTTTATTATGAAGATTCATGAACCATCTTTCTTTTTTCCCAACAGAAAAAGATAATTCGATTTTTATATGCCAACTTGTCTTGTCATTCTTATGCTCAACCCTGAATACACTTGAGTACTATAACACAGAAAATCTTTGCAAAAAGTATGCCAACAGAGTCAGGAAAGACTAAAGGGTCTTCTTTGAACATGAGCTATCATGGCTCTCCACAACTTCCTATTTTTTGTAGCTCTTAGTAATGTTTATATTTTTACTATGCTTCCCACTCTTTGTTCTGTCATCCATTTGAACAAGCTTGTTAGCTAGGTTAACCAATTTTTCTCTGTGCTTTTAATATGTCCTGTGAGTGTTAAATTCTCCAAACACTCTTTCCTCATTATGTATCCCCAAAATTTCAGCTGTCTTTTTCTGGTTTGAAATATAAATGTCCTTTTAGTTTCAATTTTCCCTAAAAACTTCCTCGTTGCTTACATGCTCTGTCCATGTTATTCTCAGCATCCTTCTGTAGAACCACATTTCTGTTGCCTCAAGTTTTTTCTGCATCTGTGAGGAAATTGACCAGCATTTACAACCTAATGGGAAGATTCAATATTATATAGCAGTTCATCACGTTGTTTCTAAGAAAATTTTCCTGTTTCTTAATACTTTGATTTGTATTTGGAAAGCATCTTTCCTTCAGATTTTGGTGTTAGATTTTCCTTCATCTGTTAGAATTTTTCCCAGATTGTTAAATTTCTAAACTGGCTTTATTTTGCCATTTCCAATTCATAGATTGCACCTTGTTTCTCTTTTTGACAACCATACATAAAGGGTATGTGAGGAGAAAATGTTTGAAAACAACAGGATTGACTAGTAGTGACTTATAGTTAAAATGTTTGAATATTGAGATTTTATACTTTCTTGGCTGGTGCCAAGTGGGAGTGTTTTTCAAATTTAAGTGATTTTTTATTTTAGTTCCCCAAATTGTGGTTGTTGTTTTATTTATTTTTTTCTAATTTAAATTTTTCTAAATTTTGTAAGTGCTTTTTTTTTTTTTTTAAATTTTCTTTAACAAACTTTTTTCTGTTAGAATAGGAATTGGCTGCAATTTTGACTTAATTTATTGATATTTACTTTGATATGAAAAAACCTCATTCTCATATTAAATTGATAGCAAATTACGAGTTCATTTCTTCTATTTTTATTATTCTGATAAAATGAAATAAACAATACAAATATGTCACAAAACTTATACACCAGGTGTAACAGCAAAATTGTTCAGTTGTTAGATTAAGCTTTGAACTACTGTATCTTAGAAATGATTAAAGATATCTTATTGGAATCATCTGTTTTTATAACACTACTTCAAAAAATAAGAATGTATTTAGCTCTAAGTTGAAATGATGATCCTTCTTGCTGTTGTGACTTCCTGATCCAGTTTTCCTCTCTGCTGTTTCCTCTTTTTTAAACATATTCACTGTTCTCTGGATGGGTCTTGAATGGACTTTGAAGATGGAAGCCAGAGTATGAATGTTGGTACCATTACTGAAGGCTTGAATGATCTTTTTCCTCTCATCATTGGGAAGTTATAGTGGGGCTGACACAAAATGGTTTTAACCTGTTCTCTTTCTAGCTGAATAACTCAAAGGACTTTTCAGTGATTCTTACCACAACTGGTATCAAGATGGCTAAACATCTTATCTGAAAACCTGGAAAAAAGAAACTCAATTAGTTCAGTGGTTTTTTAGTGTTGTGGATTCCGAGATGAAATCCAGTCTCAAATGAATGACAAACGCAGGAATGAAATATAGTAAATAAATGTATTGACGTAATAATACAATTGGTAATACGGTTAGTAGATTCAGAAATGCAGTTAGTAGCAATAATAATATATATATATATAGTCTGGGAAATTCAGTATTGAAGTATGATTGCCTTCTGAGTCTATATGCTCGCAACTGGGACTCCTACAAAGCGGTTACCTCACGCTCTTACTCTATCACTGTATCAGTGTATCTCTCTATCAGTGTATCTCTCCCGAGTATTCACCGGCAGCAGTACAAGTACACACTGGTCAAGTCCACTTGTATGAAAAAGGGGTGGACCCCATAACATTTAGATATTAAACTTTTTCTGAGATGGATAATTATCCTATACTGCTAAATGATTTTGATAATTTTGCTGTTACACCTGGTATGTATAATCATTTCTTATAGCCATATCATGTTGGAATACCAGTTCTCATACAATCACTGGAGTTAAGCAATGTTGAGCCTGGTCAGTATTTTGATGGGTGACTGCTTGGGAGTACCAGGTGCTGTAAGATTGGATGTGCTGGTGGTGTGATGGATAACGGCTCAGAATGAGAAATCAGAAAGCACAGTTCAAATTCCATTTGAGTTTATTACATTTGCTTACTCACAAATACCTTTAGGAAAGATATGAATCCATCTCTTTGTTCCCTCAATGGCCAGGAATTAAGGCAAGCATTAATATCAGAAGAGGTCCATAAATCAGTACCACTATTACTACTACTGATGATGATGATGACAATATCACAGAAACTAATTATAGGCATCTTTGATTTTTTCTCATTAAAACTAACGCTTTTTTATATTATTTTTTTTAATAAAGTCACTGCTTTTTTAAATTATTAACCCTAGAACACTAACCATCAATTAAAGTTACACTATTACTAACCAAGGGTATATCATACCCGATTTTGAAAATATCAAAAAAAAATATTAAATATAAATCTTTATTTGAAATATTTTACATGCAAGCACTTCAAACCTTGTACTTTGAGTTAACATTAATAGGAACTGAAAAACATTATTTAGGTAAGAAAATCAGGTACTGAATATTGTAATTAAAAATAGGAAAATTTGTGCTGGGTACTATATACCCATGGTTAGTGTTCTAGGGTTAAAAAAAATACTTTACCTTTATTTTTTCAAAATCATTTTAAAAAAAAATTTGCATAATTAAAAAAAGTAGGATTTCCATTTGTAGCCTTTGATCCTAGGTCAGAGATACTAATGTACATATTAAAAAAATGTAGTAATTAAAAACTCTTACAGTAAATATCTTATTTATTTGTTTTAAATTGATCTCATAGAAATTTAAATATAGCCATGAATTTTTCACAGGTAAAACCGAGTCTGCATGAATGCCATTTTTCATTGGTTTGAAACTCATAAAATAACATATTAATAAAAATGATGTTGACAGACTCTTCATTGTCCCCATCCTAGATGGTTTTGAAACCTGGAAAATGAATCAGGAAGATGAGACATTGATTGGATCTATTTCATAACAATAGCTTAAGAAGGAACCTTAAAATTATATGGCAAGACTGTGTGAAAACAGTGGAACTGCTCTAGTGTGCCTCTATAGAACCCTTGAGTATTGAGGTACAGAAAAGAAGATGGAGGTTCATTGGCAAGACCCAAACAATGACTGCAACGTGGCACTGACCTGGGCCCCTGAAGGAAAAAGGAAAAGAGAAAGATCAAGAATTGCATCTCAAAGAGACTATGGAGAAGGAAAGGAAAGCAGAGTGCTGGTGACCCTAGGATGCAAGTGGCAGCTGTGGGCAGGACAGGATGGAGACATTCTTTGGAGGCCTCACGTGCCATGCAGGCATGCAGGCAGATAGATATTGACAAATATATTGCTGTAAGATAAAATAAGTAATGATACATTTCAAAAATATAAAACTGTTGAGAAATAGACATTGTTAGATTTTGTTCATTCAACTTTTTATCAGAACATCAGAATTTGATAACTTTGATAGGTAACGTTTTGTTGGTAATACTTTAGTGTGTGGGTCTATAGCAGTTTCCATAGTCTATGCTGTAAAATGACCTTTAGCATGCTACTTTAGCATGCAGTCTACTAGGTAATTTATAGGTTAGCAATCTGCCTTAACTTTTACACTTCAATGTGCAGCCTATCTGCACTACAAGAACATTATACTGCAGGATGATGAAGACATATTGAATAATATCTGTCTATACCTCTGAGATGATGTATTGTGATTACTTGCATTATTTACATTATTCTGACTCAAGGACACATGGCCCAGTGGATAAAGACATTGGTTAGATCCAGTGACTAGACCCAAAGAGTTGTGAGTTCAATACGAGGCTACAGCAGTGGGGAACCAAAACTTGGAGAGTTGAGTTAAAGGGAAATAACTAAGACATCTGGAAGAGGTATGGCACATGGAACTAGAACAATCTACCTCCGTGGATGAAATAAAGGGTTCGGTTTGAAATTCCAATCATCTGAAGAAGGCCAAAGTGTACAACAGCCAAAAATTCACAACATTTGATAAAATTGAATATAGCAATGAAAATGCGGATAACAGTCTGAATAATGTAAATAATTCAAGAAATTGACTAATGCTTTATTATTATTGACATGCTCTTAATCATACAAATCATAATCATCAAAAAAGGCTAAAAATAGCACATTGACATTGTAGTGGGTAAAATGTGTATTTTATATTGACTGGTCAGAAGTATTCAGATTAAAGGGTAAAAAAAGTTAAACACCAGCAATAAATAAATTCATACCATGAAATAAAGACTGCATGGTAAAGGTCATTTCACAGCGTAGACTACGGAAACTGTGATAGACTGCACTCTAAAGTAGTACCATTTTGTTACTGTGTAGTATTTACTTTAATATTGACAAGAATTAATGATCACCTTGGAATATTTGTCTAAGTTACATTATATTATATGATTGATAACTGTCTTATTAATAATAGAATGTATTGGTGTTCATTGTCTTCAGATAGCTTATCTGCTCATCTTTTATAGAAGACAAATGATATTCACGCAACAAGCGAATATTATCTCAGCAAGTAATTAAAGAAATATATTCTTTTTTTCATGTATTCAGTCATACTGTCTTTTGTAATGTCTTATCATAGACTGCTTAATACAACATGGTATAAAGATGACAAGCAACAGGACTGGAGCTGGGAAGAATTTGATTGAAGATTAGAATATAAGGGTATGCTACAAGGGTGAAAGGTCAATCAATAATCATCATCGGTAAACTAGAAAAACACAAAGTATCTTCTCTCCACAATAGCTGTCTCTTTGGCTTGCAGCTAGAAAAAGATTGATGATTGAATTCTTCTTCCTGCTTTAATTTCTTAAGTAATTTTTTAATTAATTTTTGACAAATTTATCTTACATTTTATTGTTACTATTTCTCATAATGTATAGGTCTTGCCTACATTTACTATTGCTCCATACCATACTGTTTTATTTATTATCTCACAGTAGAAGCTCTAATAGTTGCTTGAATGTTTTAGAAAAAGCATTTTTATTGAAAATGTATAATTAGTTTATCTTTCATCTTACTGTTGCAACTCTAAATCCTATAACCATTAAATAAGCAGCTTAGATCAGGAATTTTACCAAATGTTACTTGATTTCCTTATGTATTTTATCAATACAATTATATTAAACATATAATAGATCTATTTACACTATTTACATTGTTTGGACTATTGTCCTCATCTTTATTGTCATATTCACAATGTTTCATCTGTTATACACTCTGGCCTTCTTCAGATGATATATGTTGGAATTTTGAACCAAACCTTTTATTTGGATAAAACCTAGTGGATAATAGCATTGGTTGAAGTAATCAAAAAAAAATAACAACCCAAAGAGTTGTGAGTTCAATACCTGGCCACAGCAGAGGTGAACAAAAACTTGGAGAGGTGAGTTATTAAAGGGAATTAACTGTAACTGAGACATCCAGAAAAAGGCATGGCATGTGGAACTAGAACAATCTACTCCTGTGGACTAAATAAAGGGGTTCAGTTCAAAATTCCAATGTATATAACCTGAAGAAGGCCAGAGTGTACAATGGCTGAAATGTTGTAGATATGACAATAAAGATGAGGACAACAGTCTAAAAAGTGTAAATAGTTACAATACTGCAACTCAGAAATATAGGCAGATATAATGCTTCTATTCTGTGATGTCAACGAACACATGTTTGACACTTTTGTGATGCCAACGAATACTCATTGTCCCTTTTGTAATGTTGGTTGTAGCAGAGACTTTGTAATTGCAGATACAACTATAGTACGCTATTGTACAATGCTGGTGTCAGACGCCTTCGAATAACACTTGCACTCATAGTACTTGCACAATAATACTCACTTGAACAGTAATCCATAGGGATCCAAATAGAGAAATGATATAGCAAATAGAGTAAAGAAATATTATAGACTAGAAATGGTGATCCATATAGTAATAGAGGAAAGAATTAGTCGTCAGCTACTTCCTACATATATGCATTTCCTCTATGGTCACGTGGTCTACTTTATTCAATAATGGGATTGCCTGTGTTTACTCTGGCAATCTATGTTCAAACTCAAGTGTCAGCAGTGACACTTTATTCTTATATAACATTCTATTCTCTTGTTAAGGCCTGTCTTCATTTCTGCTCACTGATGAACTCATTCATTCTTCCTGATTTTTAATGCACATCCATAGCAAAATCATCAGCAGTGTAATTTACATTATACATTTCATAGCCCACTTCTGATATTAATGATTTTTTTAATCATTTCACTCCCAAGCAAGTTGATAATGTCACTAAGATGCAAGGGGTTACTGACGAGGCTGGCATCCCGCTCTCACCCCTTCACTGTCGAAACTCCTAAATGTAGCCATCTCTTCTACTCCATTAGCTTCATGTCTCGCACCTCTCGCCTGTGGAACTCTCTTCCCTATTCCAGTTTCCCTGAGAGCTATAATCTCCAGCTATTCAAATGTAATGTCAATTGACATCTCCAGTTGCCTTGATCTATCCACTACCCTTCTCCTCATCCTTTCTTCTATCACTCCTGTCTGATCTTGTTCTAAATTTTCTGTAACCCCTTGCGTACTAGTGGCTTCCTGCCTTGCTTGGAGTGAAACGCTTAAAAAAAAAAGACCAGAGAGGATTGTGAACCGGGCGATAGGGGAACCTATCTAATCTTATTATGCTTGCCTTAATTCCTGGCCATTGATAATCCCTTTATTCCTGATTTTCATTTCCTATTTTCTTTTTTGTATGCTATGTCCTTTTCATAACTTCCTATTTTTATTGCTCTGAGTAACTCTTGATATTTTTCAACTCCGTTATTCTTATTTTGCTAAGTATACACATTTTTAGCACCCCCCCCTTTTTTTGCAGGTTAGTGACCTAATCAAATGAGTTTTATCCGTGTTGGTTGATTTATTTACTTGACCTTGTTCCAGATGAAGCCAAGATTAATACCTCGTGTAGAATAGTGGTTAACAA